AGCCAGGTGGAAGAGTTTAGACTTTAGCCTCAGGGCCACTGAAAGCCACAGGGAGTCACTGAAACATAAACATGGAGTGACATATCTTGATGTGTCTCTAAGAATGATCATTCTGATACCCAGATGAGAAGGGGCAGAGAGTAAGAGGAGAGATGGTGAGGGCCTGGGTTAGGGCACTAGGAGTGCCCTAGTGAGATGGAGGAGGAACCAGGGAGAGAGATGAAGGAGGCACGACTTGGTGGTGACTCACCGGGCTTGGATAACAGGCCTGGGGGTGAGTGAGGCTGGTAGTGCAGTGGTAACCATTGCAGGCTCTGGAAGGGGAGGGGCTGCTTTGAGGGGAGGGAGACTAGTCTGAGGTGCCTGTGGGTTACCCCAGTGCAGCCTGTCTGCCTTCTTGGTTTAGTTCACAGTGTGCTTGCGTCGGGAAGGGCAGACTGTATACCAGCAAGTCCTATCCGTGGAGCGCCCAAGGGTCCTGCGCAGCTGGAACTGGGGCCTGTGTGGGTACTTTGCATTCTACCACGCCCTCTATCCCCGAGCTTGGACTGTCTATCAGCTTCCTGGCCAGAATGTCACCCTTACCTGCCGCCAGATCACACCCATCTTGCCCCATGACTACCAGGTGAGGCTCCCCCTCTGTGTTTCCTCCATTGCCCTCCCTTCCCCAGGATCTGTCTCTGCTGGAAATTCCATGACCTATGAGAAAGTGGTTGGAACCCCGAATATCACACCGCTTTCCCAGGACCACCACCCAATTGGTCTTCTGTCTCCTCATAGACAGCCTGCCTGGGAGTATAGGGAGATGCAACTGGAAGATAAGAGAGCGTATACTGGGGAGTATTTGAGTCAGGTCCTCGGTGCCCAGGACTGATCCTGCGGAGTAGGGCCAGGAGGGGCTACACTGGGACCATCTGAGACTGATTTCTTGCTCTCAGGACAGCAGCCTGCCTGTTGGAGTCTTTGTGTGGGACGTGGAGAATGAAGGAGATGAAGCCCTAGATGTTTCCATCATGTTCTCCATGCGGAATGGCCTGGGGGGTGGAGATGATGCCCCAGGGGGTTTGTGGAACGAGCCCTTCTGTCTGGAGCAGGATGGGGAGACCACACAGGGGCTGCTGCTGCACCATCCAACCCTCCCAAATCCCTACACGATGGCTGTGGCTGCACGACTTACGGTACAGAGGAGATGCCCTGTGCACCGTGCCCCGCGCGCCCTCCCCCCCCCACCCCCCCCCGCCCATGTCTCTTCATTTCCTCTACTCCTAAGTCCCACCCTCACCACAGCCCATAAGCCTCTGGATCTTGGAGGTGGGAGGTCTCACAGAGCTGGAGAGTTAGTCAGAAGCCAGCATACCTGTGAAGCTTCCCTCACAAAATCTTTGGCCCCTTAACAGGCAGATACCACGGTAACCCACATCACAGCCTTTGACCCTGACAGCACTGGGCAGCAGGTGTGGCAGGATCTACTTCAGGATGGACAGCTGGACTCCCCCGCTGGTGATGAGGGGTTGGACAGGGAGCTGGTGGGAAGAGAGCTTGTCCCAGTCTTGGGAGGAGGGATGGAAGGACTGGTAATGAATGGGCCTTGTTCCCATGTTAGGGATCGCTGGGGCTCAAGGGAGCACCTGTGCTGATTGCCCTTGTGCCTCTCTCAGGCCCAAGCACTCCTACGCAGAAAGGGGTAGGCATTGCTGGGGCTGTGTGTGTTGCTGGCAAGCTGTCACCTCGAGGCCGGTGCCGCCTGGAGTTCTCACTGGCTTGGGACATGCCCAGAATCATGTTTGGAGCTAAGGGCCAGGACTACTACAGGTGAGGGGACGGAGAAAGGATAGGCATCCCAGGTGCTGGGGCTCTGACTTGGAGCCTGTGTTCTCATCCCTCCCCTTTCTTTCCACCCCAGGAGGTACACAAGGTTCTTTGGCCCTGATGGTGATGCAGCACCCGCCCTTAGTCACTATGCACTGTGCCGGTATGCAGACTGGGAAAAGAGGATCTCGGCTTGGCAAAGCCCTATATTGGACGACAGGTGCCAGTGGGGCCCATCTCTTGCCTTTCTCCCAGGCACTCACACTCCACCTTGGACTTCTGATTCACTCTCCACCCACCAAAGTCAGCAGAGTTGGGCTGGGATTCACTTGGTACCCCCAGTTGGCTGAACTCCAGAATCCTTCCTTTACCCAGAGGTCCACTCTCATTAGCTCATTGCTTCCTCCTGACTCCCTAGATCCTTGCCTGCCTGGTACAAATCTGCACTGTTCAATGAACTATATTTCCTGGCCGATGGAGGCACAGTATGGCTGGAAGTTCCTGAGGACTCCCTACCAGAGGAGCTGGCGGGGAGCATGTGTCAGCTTCGCCCCATCCTACAAGAGTATGGCCGATTTGGCTACCTTGAAGGTACGGCTGCTGGTGGGCTGGGGTTTGGTAGGCCGTATCTGTGAGGCCAGTTACTGGCAGGATGATGGGTTTTGCCTACCCCAGGGTATTGGTTGGGATGAGGGGCTTAGTGGCAGGTGGAGTGGTGATAGTGCCCTGCCCCGAACTCTAAAGGACAAGGTAGGGAGAATATGAAGAGGAAGCAGGACTCTGTCAACAGTGTCTCCCTTATTCCTCCAGGCCAAGAATATCGCATGTACAACACATATGATGTCCACTTTTATGCTTCCTTCGCCCTCATCATGCTCTGGCCCAAACTAGAGCTCAGCCTGCAGTATGACATGGGTGAGGGTTTCTTTTGTGCCCCTTCTGTCCTCTTAGCTCCCCATAACCCTGAACCTTTGTGGTCCCTCACATTGTCTCTTTCGTCCTTCTCCCCAAACATATCTGCATCTTGCTTATTAGTTCTCCTCTGGGGTCACACACACAGCTCTGTGCCCCACCCCAGGCCTGCCCTCCATTTGTGTGTCTGCTCCCCCAGCTCTGGCCACTCTTGGGGAGGACCTGACAAGGCGACGGTACCTGATGAGTGGGGTGATGGCACCTGTGAAAAAGCGGAATGTCATCCCCCATGATATTGGGGACCCAGGTAAAAGTCCCTCCACCTCAAGGTCAGCTTTCCTCCCTCAACTTTGCATCCTCTTCCCTACCCACCAATGCAAATGAACCAGGTCCCCTCCCCTCCCACAGATGATGAGCCATGGCTCCGGGTCAATGCGTATTTGATCCATGACACTGCTGACTGGAAGGACCTGAACCTGAAGTTTGTGCTACAGATTTATCGGGACTATTACCTGACGGGTGACCAGGGCTTCCTGAGAGACATGTGGCCTGTGTGTCTGGTAAGGGGTGTGTGTGCAGTGGCCAGTGTGCCAGGGGCAGGACTGAGAGCCCAGCTGGCTATTGTTGTCTTTCCTTAGCACCTAGGTCTTCAGTATCTTGGTCCTTCTCTAGGCTGTGATGGAGTCTGAAATGAAGTTTGACAAGGACCAAGATGGACTCATTGAGAATGGAGGCTACGCAGATCAGACCTATGATGGATGGGTCACCACAGGCCCCAGGTTGGGGGGTAGGGATTTCCAGGGGACCTGAGGTGGGGAATTGGGCACCAAGGGATTGTGGGCTCAAGGCTAATTATATTGCATGGGAATGGCTGGAAATGCCTGTGTGACCCCCAACCCCATGACCCTGATCAGTGCTTACTGTGGAGGACTGTGGCTGGCAGCTGTGGCTGTGATGGTCCAGATGGCTGCTCTGTGTGGGGCACAGGACGTCCAGGACAGGTTTTCTTCCATCCTCAGCCGGGGCCAAGAAGCATATGAGAGACTGCTGTGGAATGGTGAGTTGGAGGATCCTAAGGAGTCTTAAGGCAGCCATCAGGATGCAAGGAGCCTTACTTTGCCCTTTCTCTACTCCAGGCCGCTATTACAACTATGATTGCAGCTCTCAGCCTCAGTCTCGTAGCATCATGTCTGACCAGTGTGCTGGCCAGTGGTTCCTGAGGGCCTGTGGCCTCGGAGAAGGAGACACTGAGGTGAGAGAGACTACGAGGAGCCAGAGAGAAAGAGGAGCTTTCCCTGGAGGTGGGAAGCAACTATAAGAGACATGTTTCTGTCTTGCCCCTCTAGGTATTTCCTACCCGACACATAGTCCGTGCTCTCCAGACTATCTTTGAGCTCAATGTCCAGGCCTTTGCAGGAGGGGCCATGGGGGCTGTGAATGGGATGCAGCCCCATGGTGTCCCTGATAGAACCAGTGTCCAGTCTGATGAAGTCTGGGTGGGTGTGGTCTACGGGCTGGCAGCCACCATGATCCAGGAGGTAATGCGTTCCCTTCCCCATCCCTCTACCATGTATACCTTGGCCCAGCAAACTTCCTCAGCTATCACACTTCTGTACAGCCTAACCCACACCACCTGATCCATCTAGAAAGCCTTGCCCTTTTCCATGGCATGCATTCCATCTCCTGCCCTCAGGCTTCTCCCTGTGGAGTCAAGTTTATCTCCCCCACTAGCTGGGAGCTCTGAGGGCAGAGACCCTATTGTCTCCTTCTCTCCAGCTGAAGTGGCTATTCAGAAGTTGTCAAGTAATATGACTGCCATCTCTCCCTACAGGGCCTGACTTGGGAGGGCTTCCGGACAGCAGAAGGCTGCTACCGTACCGTGTGGGAGCGCCTGGGCCTGGCCTTCCAGACTCCTGAGGCCTACTGCCAGCAGCAGGTGTTCCGCTCGCTGGCCTACATGCGGCCACTGAGCATCTGGGCTATGCAGCTGGCCCTGCAGCAGCAGCAGCATAAAAAAGCCTCCAGGCCAACAGCCAAACAGGGCACAGGACTAAGCACAGGGCCTACATGTGGACCAAAGGAAGGCATGGCAAACCTGAGCCTAGAGTGAGCTCTCTGAACTGTAAGAGGGAGGCTCTAACAGTCCAGCCTCCAGCCTGGCCTTCCCTCCTTCTCCCTCACCAAGTCTCCTGCATCCCTGAGCCACCAGGACAATCACATCCCTTCCCTTCTCCCCACCCACCTGCACCAGTAAAGAGGGACTGAGATTGCCCAAGGCATCAGGATCACTTATTTATTTCTTTCCTCACCCCTTCCCCTCATCGCATGAAATCTTCAGGGAGGTCAGTGGATTCCCCCAGGCCCGTTCATAGGGTGATAGACACATATGGGTACAAATAAAAGACCCCAAAAGCCAGTAAGTGTGGTGTATTTGAACGCTTAGGCTTCCTGACGGAACAGGAGCTGAGTCTAGCCCTCTCCCATTCTTTTTTATTTGGACACAGACTGGGAGCCCCAGGCTCTCGCTGAGGTTCCCCACATCCTCACATTTAGCCCGAGTACTGGCCCTGCAAGATGATAGATGCAGGGCTGTGAGTAGGAAGCCATCCCCCCTCTCGTGAGATTTGCGTGCAGAGGAAAGATGGGACCTGGGCAGGGGGACTTTGAGAAGGGGTCAGGGAGTGGCAACTTCAGGGGAGGCTCCATGCCAGGAGCCTGAGGCATCTGGTAAAACAGGCAGCAAGAGTTGCCAGGAGCTTGGAGCATGTGGTCTGAGCTGTCCTTTGGTGCCTCTGACCTCAGGGCAGGCAGCTCCAGCTGCTGAGGGTCCTCACTGGGGAGGGCACGAAGCTGGCGGGACAACACTGAGGAGACAAAGACTATTTAGAGGCAGGCCAGGCTTCTCCCCTCACCAGCCCTTAATGGTGTCCTCAAGCCTCTCACCTCTATGCTCAGCTGGCAGGCTCCCCCTTGTGTCAGAAGAGTACATAGCAGGTATGAGGAGGAGACAGAAGGAGAACAGTAGGACCTGGAGCACAGGAAAAAGATGATGAAGAAGGACTCTTGATTGCACCCCTGTCCCTGCCACCTGAGAAGAGGATCACTCCTCCCACTGGCATCCTCACCAGAACACATGTGCTGCTGCTGCTGGTCTTATTTGATATCTGAATCACCATGGCCTGGAGTCTCCTCAAGTGATGCAAAAGGGACCTAGAGGCAGAGAGGGAACAGTGAGCAGCCCCTGGCCTGGCACCCTGCACTGCAATGCAACCTTCTTGTTAAGGCCACCCTCTCCACCTGTGCACTGGATCCTCTCTTCTTGCAAATGACTTCTTTCTCTCTGTGGACAAAATGCCTGAAGTTCCTCATTAAAACAAACACCTCTCTGCCCTGCCCTGACTTAAATTCCTTTGCAGATACCTTCAATAGTTCCTATACTGCCCGATCAGCTATGCACATAATCCTCACCAGGCATTCTATGTTCTCTTCCTTCTGACTCAACTCATCGGTGTTAGGGTTCAAGTCAGACTGGACTATGCTGTGTTCTATACCTAGAATACTCCCCCCAACCCCCAAATCCTGTCAACTATTAAATGCCATCTGCCTCATGAGGTCTTTCTTACTCTTTCTCCTTTCTCTTCCTTGGTCCTTATCGTTAGTTACTCGTGAATTTATTTGCCATTACTGTGAGCTGCTTGGAATCAGAGACCCAGTAAAGGCCAAGCACTAGACCTTGCATGTGGGAGCTGCCCAGTTAGAAATCAAGTGTGGAGCAGAGGAAAAAGTGAGACAGGGTCAAATGGGAGGGACTGATGTTGGAGAGTTGCTTACAGATTCTGTTCCTCCAGGAGCTGGACTCTGTTCTGTAGCTCCAGATTCTGGGCTGTGTATTTCAAGACCCTAGGAGAATAACAGGGATGTGGGGATGTGGCCTGTATCCTCCCTTCAAAAACCTAACACTTCGAATACCTTTGGTCCCCCCATCCCTAAGTCCCTCTCCCTTTTATACCTGTTCTCTAAACCCCCCACATACACCTTCTTCTTCCTGCGGCTCTCTTGAGCAGACTTTCTGTTTCGAATCTTCCTCCGCACTCGTTTCAGAACTTGTTCCTCCATCTGAGAAAAAGCAGGAAAAGTTATCATCAGAGGAACATTGGACCAGAGTTGGAAGGCAACTGAGTTCAATCTTCCCAGTGTAGGAATCCCTTCTACAGTTTCTCTGACCAATAGGCACTTGGCTTCTGTCTGAATGCCTCCAAGGACCAGGTGTTAATGCCCCCACAGGCCAGACCCTTTTTAACAATTTTAATTAAAAACAAACAAACAAAGCTTCCTTATCCTGAGCCAACATCTGCCTCTATAATTTCTATCCTTTGGATTTACCTAGTTCCTAATCTCCAGGGCCATATAGAACAAACATCTTGAGCTATTTTAAGGCATTTGACATTTCCTCAGAGTTAAAAAAAATCTTTTTTAACTCATCATCTTCTCTCCTCAGTATGGACTGCATCCTCCTAATATCTGTCATCAAAGATCTGGGTTCAAAACTGGACACTCAGATGTGCTCTGGCCAGACTAAAGGAGAGCAAGATAGTCACTGCCCTTCTAGAGGCAACACCTCTGTTGACTATAGTCTCCAAGCCCCATTCACTTTCTTAGCAGCCTTATCACAATGGACTCATCTTGTACTTTTAAGAAAGTAACTACAACTAGAACATACAACTATGTACTGGGGGGCTTTGGGGAGAAGAAGAAGAAGAAGAAGAAGAAAAGAAAAGATGGGCAACAGATGTTAGCTCAAGTGCCAATTTTTTAAAAAAATTCTCTTAACCTTTCTGTCAGTGAATGTTGATTTCATCACAGTGTCACAATACTGTGCTTGTGAAGCTACCATTCGTTGCCTGAAACTTAAAGCTCAGAATTTTACATTTATTCTTGCTATACTACTTGATCCAGCCTTGTTAAACTCCCTAGAACTTAATTCTACCGTTCAACAAGAGGTGGATTACCATGAAACCAGTGAAATGTGTCAGGGCTCCTCACTTGCACAGTCCTTTCCAATTCCCTATACTAATATTGCACTGATAATTTTGAATTCTTTTTTCTCAAAGAGAACACCAGAATTCGTACAAGCCCCACAAAACCAGGATCCGCTCTTGCATCCAGCATATTAACTACATGCACTAGCTCCCTGTTAGCAAGGAATTTGCTAAATTTCTCACCTCAGTCCTTTTAAAATTAGCAGAACTGGCCTGCTTGGGGCTCACCCACCTTTCCAGCCTTGCTCCACCAATAGTAGCCATACCTTACTGAGAGGGAGCGTCCCAGGCAGAGTAAGCCCCTCCTTCTCCAAAAGTCGCTTCTCCTCATCTGTCAGTATCAGCCTAGCAATCTCTTGGGGTTCCTGGGAGATGGGCTGCAGAGTTGTAAGTGAGTATCAGAGAGGAATGGGGAATCCTGCCTCCTCCCATGCAATGTAAGAATGAATAATCCTCTGTAAATCAAGTCAAGTACCTGTTCTGCTGGCTCCTCCACGTGCAGTGCAGTCATCTGGGCCCCCTCTTTTCCATAGCTCCTGTTGTCTGCAAAAGGGAAAGTATGAATAGCCAGGCCCATGAGTCCTCTCCTGCCCCAATACTCTCCTTACTTCAAACTCACCTAGATCTATGGAGATATGCTCATGTGGTACAGAGTAGGTGTGATCATGGTGGACCGGACAGGGGTTAGAGGAGCTGAGAACGTTCAATGACTCTGGGGAACTCAGCAGAGAGCTCAGGAAATCCTCGCCCTCCCAATCGCTAAGTACCTGCACAGGGTTCAAATTAACAGGCCTTGACCTATCACCACCCGCTGCCTCAGGGACGCCCCCCGCCCCGCTCCTCCCCCACTCGGAGACCCTACCCACCTCAGAAGGAGGCAGCTCCCAGTCTAGCGAAGCCTCCAGGGCCTCGTCGAGCGCTGCCCCCAAATCACCGCTTTCCTCCAGCAGGAAGTCCAGCAGGTCCTGGTTACCAGGGTCCGACGGCACCTCCATATTGCACATCTACGAAAAGACTGGGCAGAAACACAGGGGTTCGCCCCTCCACCTGGCCCCAAACGCGAACCCCATGCAAGACATCCACCTATCGTCAGTCCTTCTCCAGCGGGGATTGTCCCCCGAGCTGCTAGCCGACGCTCTCAAAGCAGACCCGCCTCCTGGACTCAAGGCTCCACAGCTTCCAACACAACGGAAGTGACACCCCTGCTCCCAAGGCATTCCGGGACATGGAGTTCCCCTAACGCGGAAGTGACCGCGGGGCCGCGCCACGTCTCGGGAGCTATGCAAATCGAGGGGACGCCCCGCTGCCTGCTCACAGCCTGAGGGCGGGCATTCTGGGACCCGGCTCCGCCTTCACCCCAAGCTAGAGAAAGGAAGGGTTCGAGAGTAAAAGGGAACTGGGGCGTCTTCTCCGGGTTGCGCCGCACCCTTGCTTCCTGCCGGGGAGGGACTGCGGCTCTTCGGAGGGTTCCCGAGCATCGAGAGCTGGGGCCAGAGCAGCTTCCTGCAGTCCCCGCAACCATAGAGCGCGGGGCCAGGGCGCCGCCCGCGGGTGGGGGACGTTCCGGGGACGGAAGTGGCCGAGAGAGTCTCGAAGGGAGGGCGAGGCCGGAGCCCGAGAGCCACCGGGAGGACGAGCGAGTAGCGGGCCGGCGGGCGGGGCACAGAGCCGGGCAGCGCAGGTAGGCCGGACTGGACCGAGCCGGAGCCTCAGGGTGGGGCCGCGAGGCCGGGCCGGGAGGCGGGCGGGCGGGGCCGACTCCCTTGCGTCCCCCGGTGCGGGTCCTGCTGGAGAGGTCAGCGGCCGCTGTGTCTCGGCTTGGGCTCGGAGTTAAGTATGCCGTTTTGCGGTAGCCAGGCCCCTCCTGGGAGCAGTCCTCGTTCTGGGATGGATTTTGGGGAGGGTGAGGAGTGGGATGGCAGTGAGGCGGAGGGCGGGGATCGGCTTTGAGGTTAGCTGATAGCGGGTGTGTGGGTAGGAAGGCTTTGGGTGGGTTTGGGATCAAGTGGAGCTGGGTTTAGGAATCAAGGTTAGCCTTAGGAGGTATAAAGCCGGGGTTAAAATTTAGTGCCATTGGTGTGAGTCAGGTCCCTTTTATGTAGCTGAAGTTTAGGTTAAGGTCATCATTTTGTTTTTTAGGATGACCAAGATAAGTCAAAGTTACAGTTCAGTGTCAGGTTAGGGGTCAACAACAGGAATTAGGTTAGAAATTCAGTTTTAGGGATACGAGAACGTTGGCATAGTCAGCATTACGGAAAAACCGTGAAGGGGTGGGTCAGGAATCCAGTGACAAGTAAGCCTTAGACTTAGGGGTCAACATTTAGGGTTAAGATCAGAAGCTTTGGTACTAAAGGTAAAAATGAGATCAATATTAGGAATCAGGCATTGGATACAGGCATCAACTAGGAAAGGGATGAATGTCAAAGCCAGTACAGGAAACAGGAAACAGTTTAGGGCTGGGGTTAATGTTAGGAATTAGGGGCAGTTTTAGGGGTTGTGGTTGAGGTCAGGGTAGTTGATCTCCGGCAGGTAAAATTTAAGATTAGGCCCTTGTTTTGAGGGGAAGTCTCATTCCTATGTAGTCGCAGAGGCTTTTTTGGCCCAGAGAAATGACAAACTAATTTCAGGCTAGGGTTCTGGGCTTCAGCTAGAATTGCAGGCATCTGGGATTCCAGTGTCTTTATTCTACTCTCTAAACCTAAGGTGGTTGTGTGGCCATCACAGTTGAGGGGCAGCAGTTCCTGGACTATGTTGTTTATAAAATAGGAGGTGGCAAAGGGACAGGGACCTAGGAGATGTACAAGGCCTAGTCAGACGTGCGGGACTGCCTAGCGGAAAGGGGACTGATGTCTAAGGGGGAAGCTGACCAAGGAAACACTGTTGCCAGGAGGGAGGGAGCGGACTGAATCCTCCGAGAGTTAAGCCCCACCGCCTCCCATTCCCCTCAGTCTGCAGATGTTAAGCCCTCCTCCCCAGCCCTCCTCCCTGGCCCTGTATCTCACACCCTTCCCACATACCCCCTTACAAAATACTTCCCTTGTCTTTAACTCCCATGTTGTTCATCTTACCATCTGTTCCCAGCCTCAGTTTTGCTTTCCTTCCCACCCCTCAATCCACACATCCTACCTTAATTTCCCCTCGCCCTAGTCTGAGCTTTCCCATCATCTTAAAGCACTTTCCCACCATTTTCACCCACTCATCTACCTGCATACCTCCTGGTCATCTGCCGAATTCCCCACCCCCAACCCAACCCAACTACTAAGTACTCCGGATGCTTGCTATACCCTGATTCTAAGCCTCCTTAATTTCTTAGTCCAGTTGTATATCCCCTTCCCCCACTCCCCAAACAGAAAAGAGGAAACAAAACCCAAAGAGGAAACTGGTTCTTGCTGATCCCACGCCCAGCCAGGCCACTGACCACACCCCCATTTCACTCCTAGCCTGACCCTGCCACTGACCACAGCACTATCCCGTACCCAGCCTGACCTAGCCACTGGCTGCACCGCATGCACCCTCCCCCCAACTCCAGCTTTACTTAGACACTGCTCTTGTCCCTTCACTCTTCCCCCATCCCAGCCTAATTTAGCCACTGACCACAGCCCCATCTCTTCTCCACCTCCTGAAGGCTGACCTGACCTCTGACCTCACTAGTTCGTTCCCTGACTTAGCCGCTGTCCACATAATTATTCTTCCCCTTCCCCCAGCCTGATCCAGTGACTGATCATATATGTATTTTTCCTACTACCATCTTCCCCAGCCTTTCTCTACACCTTGTCTTCCCCATTTCCGGCCCAATGCAGTCACTAACCTCATCCCTTCTGCCCCCGTACCTGGTACTAACCGCATCCCCATGCCCTTTTTTCCACAGCCTAACCACATCTCCTAAGCATAGGCTTATCTGCACATTCCTAGTGCGCCTTGATCCTTTCTTTCTCCCCTTCCCAATTCCTTACCTAAACTCAAGCTGCTCAGACACTGAGTGGCTACTGATGACAGGCAGCTATGGGACCCCAGCCTGACTTTGGGCCCTGGACCCTGAGGGTTGATGGGACAAACTGTCATCAGGTTCTGTCAGTTCTACCTCTTAAAATTTGTAATGAGTGGCATCCTCCCCACCATTCTAACTCTGGCTTCATTACCTCTCACCTGTGCTAATACACTATTCTAACCAATCTCTAAGGTAACTGCCAGTGTTATTTTCCTAAAATCCGGTTCTAGTTATACCGCTTCTCTGCTCAAAGCCTCCCTTGGCCTCCTCTTGCCCCCTAGTAGGTACCATTCCTCATACTCTCCCTAGTCCTCACCTGCCTTTCCATCCTCGCCCTGACTTCCCCATCACTGCCTCCTTGCAGGTACCCTGTGCTTCAGCCAGCCTGCCTACTCACTTCCCTGAATGCTCCTCCACGATTGATTTCCTGCTTCTCCACCTTTGCTTATGCTAGTCTCTCTGCCTGGAATGCTGCCCCTGACTCACCTCCGGCTGGCGTAGTGGAGAGAGCTTGTGCTTTGGAGTCAGAGAGACCTGGGTTCGGATCCTGGCTTCACAACTTTTTAGCTGTGTGACTTTGGACAAGCACCTTAACAAGTGTTTAACTTCTTTGAGCCTCAGTTTCCTAATCTGTAAAAATGGAAATAATGACACCTACCTTGCAGGGTTGTTGTAAGGATTAAATGAAATTATGTATACAAAGTAAATTGACATATAGTCAATAAAAGATAGTATTTTTTATTATCTTTATTGTTTAAAATTCTAACTTCAAGTGACACTTTTCATGGAGACTTTTTGGTCCCCCTTTCCTAACGTAAAAGGATCTCTCCCCTGAGCACACACCTCTTGGCTCTTACTATATCCTGCCCTCTATTATAACTCTATTTAGTTTATCCTCTCAGCTGATTGGGAGCCCCTTGAGGGCAAAGGCTAGGCCTTACTCTTCTCGGTTCCCGGCCAAGGGCCTTCCCCACAAAGACCCTCAGAAATTCTTGCTGGATGAGTGGAGGGAGAATGTCTACATAATAGGAGGAGAGATGTTGGGGTGAGTTGTGTGCTGATAGAGGTGTATTTGTGGGGAAGCTGTGGGCGTGGACTGGAGTCCTCACGGGAAGATAACGTGGTTATGATGGGATCTATGTAGGGGCTGCATGTTTGAGATAACCTATATAGAGACAGAGTAAGTAGCTTAGTAGGAAAGAGCTCTGTGCATGGGCTGGGGTGTATTTGGGGAGGATGAATATGCATAGAATGGGTGGAGGTGAGGAGGGGCTGTGTTGGAGGAGGTCAGGTCCAGCCTTTCAACTGCCCAGTCCAGCCCTAAATGAGCCTCCAGCAGCCCGAGGCCGGATATGTCAGTCTCACCCACAACCCACCCCCCGCACCGCGGTTGCAGACTCAGAGGCCAAATTTGGTAACAGACTGAGTGTTGCTCCCCCAGCCCTCTTACATTATGACTCTGTCTTGAGCTTTCTCTCTCCCTTTGTCCCTCTCTGTAACTCCTGTCTTTCTGCAGCTCCTTTGTGGGTATCTGCTCTGACTGTATTCTCCTTGTACCCCAAATTCCTTACCCCCAGTACACTTACATTCCATTCCTTGCTGGGATTTGACCTCCTGTCCTCCATGCCCCCCTCCCACCCCCGATTGCCCAACTCCTCTGGAATGCATCCCAGGAATGTCTTGAGGGAGGAGGAGTTCCCTGGGAGGGGGTATGGGGGACGTTGTTGCTGTTCCATAAAACGTGATGGAAATGGGAGCAAAGTTCTCCGGCCAGAGCAGGAACCGGATAGCTTACCCCATGCTCCCGGGGCCCTTGTTTTATACCTTCATCACCCCCAGTTCACTCCACAACTCCCTCTTGTAGCTGTGTAGATGTCCACTAAGAACCAGCCTGGGAGTAAGGGTAGGCATGACTCAACTCCCTTATCAGGGTCTCACCAGAGGTTTCCGTGCTTGAGGAAGAAGGGGGCGTCCATATATCCGGAGGAAATGGGGGGAGACATGCAATTTCAGCTTAGCGTGGAGGGTCCTTTCAGTCCCACCCTCAGCTCCTCTGACTCCTCTACCTTTTCTGACCCTCCAGCCCTCCAGCGACTTCACAGCCAGGTCTGTCCAGCTACTGGGAGAGGTGCCCGAGGAACGGGGAGGTGGGCAGAGAACTGGAACTGGGGGGACTGGGAGGTCCTCTCTTGTTTGGGAGTAAAGAAAGCAAGCGAGCTGTGGTTTCTTCTCTTTTGAGATTCTGGACTGTTTATAAGGTCAGAAATGACCCATCA